TCCAATCTTTATTTGTGCCACCCCCACAGCTATTGAGGAGCACTGCTAGCTCCTGCCACAAAATTTGAGCATCTTTCTATGTAAACTCATTAGAAAACTTTCCACGGATTTCCACGGATGAGACGCGGATTTTTTTAAGAATTCCAAAAGCAGTTGTTTTTGTTCTGATGAGGCATTACTTTGTCTATGATTCTGGTTGACGTTCATCATGAATACTATCGAATATTTGAACACCTAATTAATGTTTTAAAAAAATATTAAAATGTTCATTAACATATTATCGTAGACTATAACTCGCCGGAAACACTTAATTTGACAAAACATTCAACATAAATGCGCTGTTGCCAAGAATAATTTATCGTGCGAATGATTACGTTACTTACACTTTGCGAAGGGTGGTCAAGAATAGCATTTTCATTAAGTCTCCGTAAATAGACCCTTCGCAGTGTTGCGAACGATCGTATTTGCGAAAGATCTCAAGAATTGCGTCCCCGATCACCGGTCGGCGTGTGTGCCAGGTCCCGTACCCACATGTAGTTTACTATTGGAATTTGGACGACCGGTATAAAATCGACCTTTCAAATTCGGTGTGTGTGCATTCAGCGTAATGTAGCGCAGAAAGTTGAAATAAAACATCAAACACGTGTGCAAGTCTACTGTACAGACTTGAAACGGGCAGCAGACCAATTACTGGGTGCTATTATTTTCACGTACAAAGAACATTCTCCCACCGTCAACCAAAGATCGAGCAGTAATGTTTTCTGTATGGATGAGTCAACAAACTAGAAAATCCTAGAAGAGCAAAAAAATTAAGTACCTGGAATCAACCCAAAATAAATCTAACTGAATGCAGCAAAGCCCTGAAAAAATTTAATGGTAGTGGAGAAGGCAATGAGAGTAGATCGAACAGACCAGACTAAACATCTGTAGCTTTTGCATAGTGAATTACTTAATTTCCCGAAGAATTACGCAATTCACTACAAAAAAGCTACTGTCTTAGCGAAACTTGTAATATTCTTTGAAAATCAGGTTTGTGGATATCAATCAGATCGTGAAGTGTAGTTTATGAAGTTTCTAAGGATCTTCATCAATTAACGGCAGGATCAATCAGAAAAAAAGACATCCAGGGGGTATTGGCTGGTGGCAAATACAGTGGTAGATTTGAAGAAAATCAAATGTGCCATACATTTTTTCTAACGTTATAAGTCATCAGGATCAGATGACATTCACCCAGTGATGATGCAATAAGGATCGAAAATTCTACCTAAAAAATGTGTGTGATCCTCAGGACAATTTGGGCTCTGCAATACATATTGAAAACATGGAGACTGATCACCACATCCAGCAGAGGCCTTGAGACCAATCAATCAGTCTCATGTCATTTACATTAAAGACGAAAAATAACTTAACATACGAATTAGTGACTAGCTTCGGCACGATATCAATATGCTTACAGATCAGATTGATTGACATGTAACGACAAAATCAGAAAATTCTTACAAGAACTAGGCAAGAAGGCCTAGGACCTCTTTAACTTCGAAGTAAAGCAGTACATCTGTTGAAAGAGGTCAACTATCTGGGACTAATACTAGATGCATTACTGACCAGGAACCTAAAAAGAGTTAATAAAAAAGGCAAGGGTAGCAGTGATGCAGGCCAGACCCACCTACGGTAAAACATGGGTGCTGAAACCATTATTGATATATTGACTCTACGGCGTGGAGGTTGAACCCACGATAACATATGCATTTATTTTCTAGTGGCCAAAGATAAAGCAAAAGACCGCTATTACAATAAAATCAAGGCAGTAAAAGCACTCCAACAACCGCAACGTCGACACTCTTTTTAATATTTCTCCTATAAGTCTTGTTATAATAGGAGAAGCAAGGATGGACTAAATCAGACTGGGAAACTCACCGAGAGTGACATGGGATCGGGCACAAAGTAGAAATTTTCAAATATGTGAAGAAACGAATATCATACATGTTCTTGGACCACATGACATCGAAATACATGTCCGACACAAACTTCACGGATGAAGTCTCATTCCGAAAGGAGTGGAGAATGAACAGTGATCCTATATAACATGTATGTTCGGCAATAGCATCTGGTATACAAACGGGTCGGAAAACGAACATGGAGGAAAAGATGACATTTCCTGTGCGGGAATAAATTTTCATAGTTAAGTTACCCTGTATAGTTTAGTTACCCACTCTGTGGGTAACTAAACTAATTAACGTAACAGACGCTGAAATTGGCCTTCACCCTCTACTTGGCAGGCTCCTAGGCGATGGTAAAACCCGTCTACGGAATTCCGAATGGCCTCAGCCGATATGTTATGTGAATCCACTCTAATTCTGCTTTTTAGATCTTCAATATTAGCCGGCCTATTTTGATAAACCTTGTCTGTCGTATATCCCCAATAAAAATAATCTAATGGCGTTAGGTCTGGGGATCTTGGCGGCCATTCAATTGTACCACGTTCCAATCCAGCGTCCTGCAAATATATCATCGAGATATTCTCTGACATCAATACCAAAATGTGGGGGAGCGCCATCCTGTTGGAACCAAAGTGTTTCAGTGGAGATATCTGGATCTGCTTCATTGTGAAACATAACAGCTAAAGCAGGGACTAATTCATAACGTAAAAAGTCTGAGTAGCATGCAGCTGTAAGGTTTTCCTTAAAAAAAGTATGGCCCCTTATATTCTGTCGTTGATGATGCCTGCCCATATATTTACTTTCTGAGGACGCTGCGTACGAGCTTCGCATATCCAGTGTGAGTTTTCCTGACTCCAAAATCGATAGTTGTGCCTTTTAGCCACTCTATGTATATAAAAAGTAGCTTCGTCCGAAAAGAGTATGTTGAGTGGAAACCCATTATTCTCGTCACATCGCCTCATTATTTCCTCACAAAATTGCAAACGCCTGTCATAGTCATCTTCAAAGAGCTCTTGGACAAGACATACCTTAAATGGGTGATATTTTTCTGTTTTCAAAAATCTCCCAATTGTATATCTAGACGCAGGATTGTTTTGGGCTAATGAAACCGTTGACAAATGTGGATCTTCCTGCAGAGATACGGCAATGTTCAGTTTTTGATCTTCGTCTAAACCATGTGGCTGGCCACTTCTGGGCAAGTCCTTCACTGTACCATGTTCCTCAAATGTGCCTAAGATCTTACAGTAGCATGGAAAATGTGATTTTTCGGAAAAAATGCATCAACCTTTTTCTCTTTTTGAGGTACACTGGTCAACACCTGCTTGGGATGGAACTAATTGAATTTGTAAGTTTTTGCTGAAAAAATAAAATCCACAGAATGTTATCAGCTTTACACATCTGTATCTGTAGAGTAGGGAGGGTGAGTGTAAGCCCACGCACTTAGGCCACATGTGACCCATTGTACATCCTCCCGAGGAGTTGTCCTCCTAGGTCGTCGTCCATCCTGTCCTTTCCAGGAAGGTGGACAGGTCGCTGGGAGACATCTCCTTTATATCGGCAGGTGTAGGCCAAGACTCGCCGAACACACACTCTCTTATTGACGATAACTCCGGGCACTCGCACAGGACATGCCTGACAGTCTCATCTTCCTGTTCACACATCCTGCATAGAGGTGTGTCCACTAGCCCCATATTATGTAGGTGTTTCCTTAGCTGACAGTGGCCAGTCAGAAATCCTACTGT